TTTTCCCTCTCAATAATGTCAATTTGCTGGCCAGTCATCTCGGATACATCCAGCCTCTGTATCATGCCCGACAGTTGCAAGATAAAGAAATCTGGCTGTAGTATGCCTTGGCACGTGGAAACAAGCACCTCGGACACCAGCCTCGAGCCTCTCGGCAAATTGATCACCTGTTAGGTGTCTTCTGCACCAGCCCCAGAGGAATAAATCCATGCTGTGGCTCTGAGACCATTCATGCACGATGTTTACGTTGCCTTGGTTTTCCCTAGCTAATTATGCCCTCAGAACTGGTACATGTATTTTACCGATAAGCGACATGAGACGACAGGCAAACCCAAACCACTACAATACGAACTTCAAGATTGGCGACAGAGAGACAGATTAAAAACAGTGTCTGCAGCCCTCGCGGTGTGTTTGAATATAGGAGTTGAACCCCCCGACCAGCTCAAGACCAACCCAGGTGCGAAGCTCGAGGCATGGACAGATCCTACAATACCTCCCATCCAGAAAGCCCTCGAGAATATCGGCAAATCACTTCAGGCGCAGTACGAAACACTTGCGATAAGAGCGCGATATAAACAATATCTCGATCCCTCTGTCGAGGAGACAAAGAAATTCTGCATCTCATTACGCAGAAATGCTAAAGACGAACGTGTTTTGCTTCACTATAACGGTCACGGCGTGCCCAAGCCAACCGCATCAGGCGAAATTTGGGTTTTTAATAAGAATTACACACAATACATCCCTGTATCACTGTACGACCTGCAACACTGGCTTCAAGCTCCCACCATCTTTGTCTGGGATTGCTCTGAAGCCGGCAACATTCTCAACAACTACCATCGATTTGTTGAGAAGCATGAAGAGGAGGAGGAGGAGGCCGCAGAGCGCGACCCAAACTACACGAAGACTAATTTCAGGCCTTATATTCATCTGGCCGCCTGCGCTGTCAAAGAGAATCTACCGACAAACCCTCTTTTGCCTGCTGACCTGTTCACAGCTTGCCTCACCACTCCCATTGAGATGGCCCTGTGGTTCTTTGTTCTGCAGAACCCCCTCAAGACCAACATCAGCCCAGAGCGGGCCAAAAAGCTACCCGGTCGCCTGCAGGAGCGGCGAACACCACTGGGAGAACTTAACTGGATCTTCACTGCTATCACAGACAGCATTGCGTGGACAACACTGCCTCGTGATCTCTTCCGGAAATTTTTTCGACAAGACCTGATGGTAGCAGCGCTATTCCGCAATTTTCTTCTTGCTCAACGCGTCATGACGGTCTACGGATGTCATCCTCAGTCCTATCCTAAGCTGCCTGACACCCACCAGCATCCATTGTGGGAGACCTGGGATCTAGCCGTTGACATGGCATTGGCTCAGCTCCCCATGCTTGAAAAGAAAGAAAGCGAAGGCTTTGACTATGAATATCAAAATTCAACATTCTTCACAGAACAGCTTACTGCTTTCGATGTTTATCTTACAAGGGGCGATGCAATGGCTCAAAAGTCACCCGACCAGTTACCGGTTGTGCTCCAGGTACTGCTCAGCCAGCAACACCGGGTTCGCGCTCTTATCCTACTCGGCCGGTTTCTTGACCTAGGCCCGTGGTCTGTTCAGCTCGCTCTCAGTATAGGCATCTTCCCGTATGTCCTCAAACTCCTACAGTCGGCTGCGGCCGAGTTAAAGCCAGTCATGGTCTTTATCTGGGCCCGTCTCATTGCAGTGGACCTTTCTTGTCAGCAGGACCTCATCAAAGATAGCGGCTATAGCTACTTCGCACAGATTCTGAAACCCTCGGAAGGATTGCCTGTTGTTGACAGCGACGAACACAAGGCAATGTGCGCTTTTATTCTCGCTATGCTATGCAAGGATTACAAAAATGGGCAAATGGTCTGTAACCAAACAGAGATTATGTCATATTGTTTGACTCATCTTCAAAACGAAGAGAACCCTCTTCTGCGCCAGTGGGCTTGTCTCTGTATAAGCCAACTTTGGCAAGACCTCCCAGAGGCCAAGTGGCGAGGAATCAGGGAGAATGCATACGTCAAGCTCGCTTATCTCGTGAGGGACCCTTGTTGCGAGGTACGGGCAGCGATGATTCATGCCATGACTACATTTCTGGGTATCCCCGATCTGACAGAGGAAGTGGCCCGAATTGAGGAGTCTATCGCATGGACGATACTCGACATGGGTAATGATGGAAGCCCGATGGTCCGCAAGGAGTTCATCGTGTTCCTTTCTCATTTTGCTATTCGCTTTGAGAGCAAGTTTTTAGTTGCAGCTTACGAACAATTGGTTGAGGAGAAGGAGTATCTCATATTCCCTCCCCAAGATGACGGCCAGGAACACAAGATGGGCTTGCATTACGCAAGGCCGGATAATCGCAACAAGGATGGTACCATCAACCCAATGGCCCATGGCCTATCTCATAACACAGTATATATGGCGTTGTGGAAGTTGGCTCTCGTTCTCAGTGTGGATCCTCATCCTGAGGTACAACGCGAAGCGACTATCGTTGTAGACTTTGTTCACAACGCGCTGCTCAGCTCAAAAGTCGGAGTTCAGACGCAGCTAGTCATGGCAGAGATTCGAAAGCGTACGGCAAGGACGGCACACAAGCATACCCCGAGTGCAAGCCAGCGAAACAATGCTCCCGGCACTTCTAACTCGCAGCCTTTACCCTCCCCAGGACTCCTTCGTAGAACTGCGAGCTTGCTTTTTCCATCACTGGTCACCAATGAGGACAAATCAAGACCGACGACCCCGACTTTGCCCCGATCACCATCTCTGAAACTCACGCCGAATCAAGTACCGGTGCCTGCAGAGCAAAACGATCGACCATCATCGCTGGCTCAATACAATGTTGCGCATGAGCCGTATTCAGGCGCATACAAAGAGCGGGATCTGATGAAGCCCCCTGCACTGCCCCTCAGGAGCAAATTCCTGGAATGGTCAATTGAGTATTTCCGTGAACCACAGATGAAGCCGAGTGAGGCAGATGAGCCTGGAAGTACCGAATACAACGAGCGTCTGTGGCGAAGAGCTCGGAATGAAACCATTTTCAGAGAAACTCAGCCATTGAAGCAACAAGCGGGAAGTCACAAATGGAATAATCAACTTGGGATCATCAACAATGGTGCTCAACCCGCTAAGATGACCTTCCATCAATTCGAAGATCATCTTGCTGTAGCGGACGACGGCAACACTGTTTACGTATGGGACTGGAAGAAGCAAGGACGATTGAGCCGTTTCAGTAACGGTAATCCAGAAGGCTCAAAAATCAGCGACATGAAGTTCATCAACGAGGACGACCAGGCGATGTTACTGACAGGATCATCTGACGGTGTGATCAGAGTTTATCGCAACTACGAATCGGATAGAGCCATTGAACTTGCATCATCATGGCGTGCCTTAACACACATGGTACCTAGTAACGTCAACTCTGGCATGGTGTTCGACTGGCAACAAGTCACTGGTCGAGTCCTTGTTGCTGGCGATGTCCGAGTAATTCGAGTGTGGTATGCCGCTTACGAGACGTGTGTCATGGATATCCCAGCACGCTCGGGCTCCTGCGTGACTTCGCTCACCTCGGATCAAATGACGGGTAACATGTTTGTTGCCGGCTTCGGCGACGGTGCCGTTCGAGTCTTTGACACCAGAAACCGGCCTCAAGAGTCCATGGTGCGCAAATGGAAGGATGAGTCAGATCGACAATGGATTAAGAGCGTACATATGCAGCGCGGCGGACAACGCGAGCTCCTGAGTGCAAGCAGAAATGGCAAAGTCAAAATCTGGGATATTCGCATGGATAAGCCGCTGCACTCCTTCCAGACAACACGAGACACACTTAGAACAGCCAGCACTCATGAGCATCTACCAGTCTTCGCAGTGTAAGTATTGATTCAGCGCAAGGATCATGAATCACAGGGGCTAGAACTAACTCGATTGACAGGGGTACATCGGCCCACGCAGTGAAGGTCTTTAATCTTGATGGGCATGAGCTTTCGAATGTTGAGCCCTATTCAAGCTTTCTGCAACAAAACCGCAGCTCGCCTATATCGGCCACTGCATTCCACCCTCATCGGCCAATTCTTGGATGTGCTGCACGAGGCGATCAACATATCAACCTGTTCACTTGCGAGAAATCGGAGTCTCTGCACCCAAGCTAGCGTCCTTGGGGCGGCAGGTTTCGCTTATAGTAATACTTAGAAGAGGACAAATGAGACGGGATTTATGTATTGCCCGGACCATGGAGGAAGGGTGCCATTCAGGACTCGAAGCATGGGGATACGGATGTGGGGTGGAAAGGGGTGGTGACGTTAGTGTATAGGTTGCATATCATATCTTTCAGGATTTCTTTCGGTGCCGGCGTTTAGGAGCAGGCAAGACAAGCGAGGCGATGGAGGCTCAGGACGAAGCGAATCTCTTTCCACAACGGGTACATCCCGTCAGCGTCGTCAAATTCCGCGATGTTGGACGGAAATGGTTTCGTCAAATATCGGATTGGGCATTGGGGAGATGTATGATAAACTTAATATCAATAGCTGTTAATTTGAGCCTGAGGCCTGTGGTCTTTGTGTGTATGGACACTAAAAAAGAAAAGCAGCCGTTTAGATGGCATTTTCCTTGGACCAAAATGCTGGGGTTAATAATAAGGTCCCGTCGGGTCGGGTGTTGAAGACGACGGTGCTTGGATAACCCCACCATGACGCCGCAGTTGAAATGGATTGGTATGGCGGGGCAGGAACCCCGCTGCGCGGCCTGACTGATGGGCAACCACCACTTCACATTTTTATGCGTCACCTTATTTTCTCCCACCGACACAGTCACCTTCTTTACTATCTCCTGATTCTAGTCCGGTCTCGTCGTGAGCCTCCCCTAGCTTTGGTCATATCGAAACACCTCCAATCGCGTGTTTTTATTCCAACCCTCCCTCGTCAACCGACACAAAGTGATTGCGCGAGAACGAAACCCAACGCCTACGAAACACATATTCGAGTGACTTCACCATGGCTGACGCCCCTGCTGAGCAAGCTGCTGCCCCCCCTCCCGCCGACCAGGCTCCTGCCGTTAGTGGTGAAACTGTCGAAGGCGGAGAGGCTGGCCCCTCAAAGAAGGCATTGAAGAAGGCTGAGGCTAAGGCTAAGAAGGAAGCTGAGAAGGCACGCCGAGCTGCTGAACACGAAGCCCGACAGTCTGCTGCAAAGGCTGCTGCTGGAAATACCGAAGACCTCGCTAAAGACAACTATGGAGATTCCACTCATCTTACCAAGATCGATGCGGAGCGAGTCAAGCTTCGAAACCTGAGCGATGAGCATCTCGGCAAGACCATCAAGCTTCGTGCGTGGATCCAGAATGCGCGCATGCAAGGTGCCAAGATGGCCTTTGTTGAGCTTCGTGAGGAGCGTGACTGGGCTATCCAGGGTGTCGTCGCGGCTAACAGCGAAGGCGCACCTGTCTCTAAGCAGATGGTCAAGTGGATTGGTAGTCTAAATCTAGAAGGCTACATTCTTGTCGAAGCTAAGGTTGTGAAGCCTCAGGAGCCAGTCAAGAGTGTGAAGGTCTCCAATTACGAGCTACATATCGCCAAGTGCTACGTTATCAGCCCTGGCCCTCAAGTTCTTGGCATGGGTCTTGCTGTTGCAAACCGCCCTGTTACCAACTTTGACGATGAGGACGCTGGTGGCCCTGTGGAGGAGGTCAAGGAAGGCGTTGACAATTTGAGCCTTGAGAATGTCCCTGGTGCCAGCATGGCAACCCATTTGAACAACCCCGTTATGCACAAGCGAGCTCCTGTTCAGCAAGCCATCGCCGATGTACGACTGGCCGTTCGCAAGCTGTTTGTCGAGTACCTTGAAGCTCGCGACTTTGTCCAATTTGAGGCGCCTTGCCTCATTGGAGCTGCTTCTGAAGGGGGATCCAACGTTTTCGGCATGCCCTACTTTGACAAGCAGGCTTACTTGGCCCAATCTCCCCAATTTTACAAGCAGTACGAGATTGCTGGTGGCCGGAAGCGTGTTTTGTGCATCGGACCGGTATTTCGAGCTGAGAACTCTAACACCCCTAGACACATGACAGAAGTAAATATCCCTATTTGCACTGCCAGACTCCTTCGTTCACCCAGAGGACAGCGCTGACCTACATCAATAGTTCACCGGTCTTGATCTTGAGATGGAAATCGAGGACCATTACCACGAAGTCCGCGACATGCTCGAGGGGGTTCTTCTTCATATCTTCCGAGGGCTTCAGGAGCGATGTGCCGAGCAGATTGCTCTTGTTCGAACAGTTTATCCTTCCGAGGACTTTCTTTTGCCCCAGCCCGGTAAGGAGGTTCGCCTTACATTCGCTGAGGGCCAGGCGCTCCTTAGAGCCGAGGGCCCAGAGGAGTACCGCAATGTGTCCGATGAAGAGGACATGAGCACACCACAAGAGAAGGCACTGGGTGCTCTTATCCGGGAAAAGTACAACACCGACTTCTACGTCCTTGACAAGTTCCCTGAGGGTGCTCGACCTTTCTATGCCCTGGAGGACCCCGAGAACCCCAAGGTCACTAATGCCTTCGATTTCTTTATGCGTGGACAAGAGATTCTTTCTGTATGGAACCCTCTCCTATATCGTTTGCCTAGTCGTCACTAATTTGTTCAACAGGGTGGTCAACGTATTCACGTTCCGGAGACCCTGGAAGCACGAATTCGTACAAAGGGTATCAATCCTAAAAGCCAAGGCATCAAGGAGTATGTCGACATTTTCCGCAGTGCCGGTGTTCCCCCTCACGGTGGCGGTGGTATTGGCTTGGACCGTGTGGTTGCGTGGTATTTGAACCTTCCAAGCGTGCACTTGGCAAGCTATTATCCTCGTACACCCAAGAGACTCTTGCCTTAATAAGTTGAAAAGATCTAGAAGCTGTAGGATTTCTAGAATGTGAGAACTACTAAAATTCAGATGAGAAAGGGAGACTGGAGTACAAGAGATAACACTACAGATAGTCCCTGGGATCATGACAAAAAAAAGATTTGAATATTCCAGCCAAGAAGTTTCCCGTTTGTATAACGTAGGTCAAAACGGGATATTACTGTAAGTTCGTGATGATTCTTTTGTGTTAAACACAATGTAACGAGTGAAGTTGTGAGTCAGAGGAAAACAAACATATCCAGAACATCAGCATCAAAGACTGGTGAGATTAAAAGTGTCCCAGGTATGAGATAGGCTGGGTTGGTCTGCTGAAAAGAAGCCACTCCGCAAATGGAACAATTGAGTTTCAGCAGTGCTAAGCTGGGCTCGCTAAAACCTCAAGAGTCAGTCACCTGGCCGTCTGACTTACATTAGCTTCGTGGATCAATATCACTTACGTGAGTATGATGATTGTGCAAGTCGGGAATAACGGCACCAAGAACAATCCGTTCATCACATTCTAGGCACAGTGGCTAAGGTACCCGACCATTGGTATTGGGGTGACAACACGTACACACCTAGTCTGAATGCCAATCTCTCGGCTCAATGTTACCCTAGGTAAGTATCCAAGGTGTGGTAAAAGTCGGAATGGTGAAGAGGGCTGGCGGGCAGCACCCACCCATCTGCTTGAGGCTTTAGGTGAGCGAGTGCGGGATCTACCTTATTATGCACGGGTTTTGCTCCGGAGGGTGCGTAAGATCCAAGTTGATTGCTCCCCACGTTTGACAACTTGCGAGTTGCATTCGCATGCACCTACACAAAGCTGCGCCCGTCAGATGGATACCCTAGGTGGGTTATCATATCGTGGGTGCAACGTATGAGTCCGATTTCCCGGGGAGAAGCGTCGGTATCCCATTCCACGGGGAATGGCATTGGGAACCTCAACTGCATATATCATGTACCAAGGGTCTTAGGATACCGCTTAACTACTTAGGTACCCAATGAATTGACCATTCTAGGACAGACCCTGGAGACAGAGAGGCCCGACGGGTCCAGCAGGGGTTGCGCGAAGATGCGCCTGGGTACTGTATTATTGGTTACACAGACTTCCATGTGCTAGCGATGATAAGTCAGTAAGCACCTAAATGGAGCAAATGTCTTTGGGTTGTGGGTGCGGTTGCTGACTGACTACTTGACCATTTGCGTACAGGAGTAGAGGAGCCAAACTACCTTACTCACAGTTCTAATGATTCTGGAGGTCAAGGCGATTAGCAACAACACACCAATTCGACAGCTGCGCCGTAGCAATTCCCCTCCAACCCTAATATCTTACTCTCGTGTGCGGATTCTTTGAGCCGAGTTTGTGTATATCTTCCCCAAACAAACCCGGCCAAGGTTGGGAGAAGTTGCCCAAGAGAGCACAGAACTCAGGCCGAACCACGTGCAAGCGAGCAGAGATGGCTCAAAAAATCTCGTGCTCAAGCTCTCCATTGTTTTACGGGATCAGTCGGGGGTCTCTTGAGGGTCTCTTGCTTAAGCGGCGGGCGTGCAATGCGGGCGGGCGGCCGACTAAGCAGAGTCGGATGCAGATGTGGCTTCGCTTGAGGAAGTTGTTGTCTGTTGTCTCGAGTGCGCTGGACCAGGCTGAACATACTAGATCAAAATACGGGTCTGCGTGTGCAAATAGGGCCGAAGAAGCTTCAGCAGTTGTCCTTGTAAGGCTGGGAATGGGAATGGGAATGAGAGGGCCGTTGAGAGGTTTGCGAGATGCATTCATGGCGTTGTGTTGAGGTAGGTCGTTATTCATTGATGGATATACTGTTTGGCGCACGATATTGCCGGATTAGGCCAGGGAAACCAAATGTGCCAGGACTGCACAAAGTCCATTAAATCCCGAACAAATCCGGAGCGCCTAGGTTCGAGGGAGATATGTAGATACCAAGATATCTTGGCTTATACGATCTTGAGATGTCAAGCGCAGATCCTCTTGAACCCCCATGTGAAAGACGACCCTGAGGTGCTTACCTACACGCCAACGACCCACCAGGCTTCGGGGCAGAAGGAGGAAAGAGAACCGCGATGGGGATCAGGCAACAGTTATTTTTACCATTGTGCATTAGACGGAACCTTTGAAGTTTGCTAGAACCACGCTGGTCAGTGGAGTCGGTTTGTCAGGTCCGTCCGTCGTTTGTTCCATGTCCTGAGGCCGTCATATATCTGAAGTGAGAGTTGTCTGACTAACATTGGATGTCAACTTGGCGCTAGCACAGACTTCAGAAACTCACGAAACTACTAAGGTGCTGTGTTCTGTACCTAGTCAACAGTGGTGGCTCACGGAATGAATGCAATTAAGACACTGGCTGATAAGAACAGTGTGTCAAGGGGCCTGATCAGTGTGCACCACTCCCTCTAAATTACTGCATTAACGTTCCATGCTGTTCAAGGTAGCCAGCCCTGCCTGCATGTGCAGGAGACGCATTTTTCTTTCTAGCCTCAAGCTCGTGGACTAATTCACGACTTGCCCTTAACGTCTGCACAACCATTGGGCTCCAGGGAGATAACTGAACAGCGCTGAACTGGCGGGTAAAGGCAAGGAAATAAGGGACGAATTAAATGGCCAGTAACGTCGGCCGCCTTGCTGCAGCTCCCCCATCGAAACTCCTCCTAGGCGACACTTTAGCTTCGAACGCGACATGGAACCCTTTCCGTAATACTCGACAACCTCTGTGAGGCCCTTGATCATCCAAAAATGTTTCTCATTTGGAAGTTCGTTGCAATGCTCGAGTTAGGAAGCTCACGATGTTGATAACCGACCCTGGCTTGTTGGCACGACTAATACACAACGGCCAATATGCACGTCAAAGGCAAATGCCGTGTCAGTCGTGATTGGCACCTAGCTTTGCCATATGTCGCCTAGCTCGGCCTAGATCACAGAGTCTCAGCCATTTCTTAAAAGGGCCCAGGCCCAACCTTTCCCGTCCCCCCGTTCGTGAAACGCATTGCACGTTATGCTTCATTAAGGCTCCAGCTACCACCTTGCCTTGCCTTACAGTACTCCTCCGTCTGTACTCCGTACCACCTCCCTACCGACTTGCTACCCTGCCCTGCCCGTGCTCTCTGTGCTCTTGGGGCTCGCTCTCACCTTGGTCAATCGGTCTGCACCTGAACATTCTACCCCCCTCTCTCTTCTTCACCCACCCGCGTCACCCGCCTCGTTAACACCTAGTTAATTCATCCACCAACCTAGAGCCAAGCCCCCCATACAACCATCCTCAACTTCTTCTCTACTATTTTAACCAAGAAGCGCTTCTGTCTCTTCTAACCAGCATTGACTTGTCACATCTTTGTTCATCTACGCTCACGCTCATTCATCTCGGGCTCCTCGTCCATTTTGTGTGGTCGCAATCACTCCCATCCAACTACTCGATTCGATTCTGCTCTGCTCCACCTGCTTCGTTTAACCTTCGCTCAACCTCAACCACCGCCTCTGAAGGTTCACGATGGATTTCACCGGGCAATACAACTTTGCCAACCCTCAGCCCTATCACCAGTTCATGCCGATTCCTCCTCTGACGCCGTCACACTCGCATTCCGCCGGCTCCGATGACTTCAATGCATCCCCGCCTGTCAGTAAACGACCCCTTCTCCGCGATCTCCCCCACTCCCCCGGTGCAGCCCTGCCTTAGCGTTTCCTTACCTGAGCATTACTCTAGCAATGTTGAGCCTCACAAGCACGACCATCTCGGCATCTTCAGCGTTGTACCTGCAGCTCGTCTATCTCATAGCTTTAGCGCATCTTTGCTGACATATTGCTTTGGCACGTATAGGAAAACTACGACGGCCTCTCTGCCAGTCAAAATGATCAGTTCCAGTCTTTCGATTATACCACAGCCCAAGGCTTCAATGCAAACCCTCACCAGCCTGCTTCTGGTTTTCCGGGCCCCCCGACACCTCCCGGCTATACTTCTCAGGCCCAAGCCCATCAACAGCAAGGAGGCTCATTGAGGAATGGCTCCCCTGACGAGCAGAGCGTTGCCCGTGGGGGCAGCGAGGAGGACGAGAACCTAACTCCTGCTCAGTCTCGGAGGAAAGCACAGAATCGCGCTGCGTACGTCTCCGCTCCTCTCCCGCCTTGTTCTTTCTTCTTTTCTTCTTCTTTTTTTTTTTTTTTGGTTTGCGAGTAGACCTCATGGTACACAACATTGCTATGCCCTCGAAATGCGATTGATGGCGACGATTTAATACTTGACTAACATATGGCTGTACAGGCAGCGTGCCTTCCGCGAGAGGAAAGAAAAGCATGTCAAAGACCTTGAGGCGAAGCTTGCCGGCCTTGAGGCCGCCCAGCAACAATCATCCCTCGAAAATGAACGTTTAAAGCGAGATCTCCAGAAAATATCTACCGAGAACGAAATTCTTCGCGCGACTTCCCGCATGAGCCAAGGTTCCATCTCCCCAGAGCCTGCAACCGGGCCTCTGCGCTTCAAACCTACCGACTTCTACTCCAACGTCTTGCAGAATCACACAAACAAGTCGCCCTCACACCGCATTGTTACCTCAGACGATGGTGAACGTCTCCTAGCTGCCGGTGCAACATGGGACTTTATCATATCCCACGAATTGTTCAAGAAAGGCCTTGTTGATATTGCCGATGTCAGCGAGCGTCTGAAGAACTGCGCTAGATGTGATGGCCAGGGTCCTGTTTTCTCAGAGCGTTCAATCACCAATGCCATCGAACAGAGTGTCGCGAGCGGCACTGATGATCTTCTCTAGGTGAGCGGCAAGGCGCAAAAGGGCCAATTGGAAGAAAGGATACATGAATGGCTTCATTATGATTGACGTATATTACCCTAAGACACTAGGTGGAAGATGATACCCCGCCCGTCGGGGCTTTTTGGCGCGGCGTTTTGTATTCAAGGCTTTTACGTATGTCTCCCAAGAAATTTTGGATTGGTTTTCAGAAACACGCAGCAAATGTCTGCCATATGCAC